AGTTTTAACAACCATTCTTGTATTGTTGGTAGTGTTAAGAGGCTCTCTTTTTTTCTTAAAGAAAGAAGATGGGCTGCCTGGTTAGCTTGCAGGTTTATCTTGTGGCTGGGGAACTCTGGGAGTTGAAGTCCACTCATCGCAAAGTTGCCAAGGTTCTAAAGAACAGCTGAGGTCTTGAACTGAGGAACATCTGTGTGCCAAACAGGGGTTCTGCTACTATGCTTCAGCTCTTACGTTAATGCCCTTCAAAAAACCAGAGAAGGACCAACTGATCTCAAAAGAATCTGTACAGATTCCATCCTGCTCTGAATCAGTCAAGCACAGAAGTGGCAATTCATGGAATTTGACCTCCTGTTCTTGTATATTGACCACACTGAGTGCAACCATACCCAGTTCGACAGACCTCGTTTAGCAACCACAATTAGGACTGGCAACTCAGTTAAGTGAAGCGGTCGCTAAGTGAAACCGCGACTGTGCTTATGATCTGACTTCAGCTTTCCTTTGCACTACAGACCTGCAAAAGTCGTAAATGCGAGGATTAGTCGTAAAGTTACTTTTTCATCACTGTTGTAATTGTGAATGGTCACTAAATAAGGCAATTGCTAAATGTGGACTACCTGTACCAGGCGTAGCACCAAAGCTTTGTAGTTTGTGCTTATGGATCAAGACTGGAAGGGATGAAGAAAGGGCGGGGGGTCAACGGATGAGCCTGGAGCTAAAGGCACAACCAGCAAAGCACAGGTAAGAAAATTCATAGTTTCTTGAATCTAGAAAGCTATTTCAGCCAAGACCAAAACCTGCCATTCGGTTCTTTGTTAAAAACACAATGTTCTAATGGCTCAGTGATTCTTTAGTACATTGTGAAAAACATCCTCGGTAGACTTTGCTCTAAAAACATGGACACAGCATATACAAAACAGCACTTCTGGGGGGGAAAAGTCAGTGGGGGTGGAGCAGAATCTAGCTTATGGCAATGGCTTCGTTACATAATTCATTACGTCAGCCTTGGGAAGAGGAGATTGGTCACACTGGCAGAGCAACGAGGAAAGAAAGTCTAACTTTCACCCTTCCTCCCCCCACCTTAGCTGCCATTCTGCATTTTTTCAAATATACTGTTTAAAAAATATTAGGTGCAGAAATACATTTAGCACCATGTTTGGTTTGGCCCCCCAATGTATCTAACCCAACAGCCTGAAGGTGGCCTCTCCCTCTGTGAAGTCGCATTGCCCCCCTGCCTCCTTGTTAGCTAACTGACGAGCAGTTTCCATAACCGCCCTGCAATTTTAGGGCAGGAAAACAAAAGTTTCCCCTTCTTCTTTGATTCACCAAAGCATCTTACATCAAACTTCCCAGCATTCTGTTCCAGCTTGACTTTGCCCCCCGAGAGGTACTGCCAGGCCCGACCGCGCAGCGAAGGTGGAATCCCTTTCTGGCATCTCAGCCGGATCTGAAAAGAAGAGAAGAGCCATCGCTGAGATGCAAGGCTGTCATGCAGCAAATGCCAAAGAAAAAGAAAAAGTAAATCAGTGTCCCATTTTCCCACATTCTCTTAGCAACCCTCCTTCTCCTCTTCCTTTTCAAAAGACCAGTTTATTAGGAAATGATGCAAATACAGAGAAAACAAAAATGTACCCAAAATAAGACAGAAAACAAAGCACGTTTGATTCAGTTGCTCATTTCCAATGGTCTCAGATGACCTTTCCCAGCAATCATCTGAACCTAGAAAATTGTGATTAATCTTAACTAATGGTTATTATAAACAAGCCAGCTTCATAAGCCAGGGTGTTAAATTAACTGTGGTAGCTGACAATTCTGAAGGATACGTCACTTTCATAGGCCATGTCAAGTTGAACAAAAATGGAAGCAGAAATGTCCTTCTCTAGTAGAACAGGAAGAAGAGAATATTCCAGCCCAGAAGGTTAGAATCATTTCCATCTCACTGAAGAAGGAAGTCATAATGTTTTTAGGCTGACTATCTACCTACTTGGCATTTGGCTGAAGAGCCAGGAGCTTGAACATGGATTAAATGCTAAGATGAGTCATCAGTAAGAACAACGTAAGCTGAGGTGGCTTGTTCATATAGAGGGAATGAATGAGAATCAAATTGCAAAACAAATATCTGAAAGGACAATGACGAGGAAGAAGAAGAAACTGGCGGCTGAATAGTTGATGAGATCCTCAAAGAGAAAGATGAGAAGATGATTAACGTATGAAGCTCTGCGTGGACGTGATGGAACTGAGGTTTAGGAAGAGCAGAAAGCAAGATTCCTAAAATTCTCTCCATGGCCCCAAGACAAGATTCTGCTCACTTACAGGGACCAGAATCACATTTCACAAAGCAACAGGATAATGGGGTATTCAAATCAGAAAACGATCACCTGCCATTGGAAAGCTTCTCCAAGAGATTAGCACTCTTGTTCACCACTAGAACAGCTGTAACATTTGCTCATGTCCATCACAAACTCCATCCCCTTATTGCTGCTTTCCTCCTAAAACACTGGAAGAATTTTAGCAGCTTGAAACAGTTAAATGTCTGTTGTTCTCACTCTTCTACAGTACCATGTTTAGAGATGATTTTTTATTTATCTTTCGAGACTTATAACCCACCCAAGCCCTCTGGGGCCAACTAACGACAAAGACCAACTGAGACAAAAAAGGAAATCCTCATCATCGTTGTCATCATCAAACCCCATTAGAAACAGAGGAGAAACCCAAACGATCGAACTGGGGCTAAACATTTGTTGAAATAAATCTGTTTCCAAAACATTATTAAAATGGGGGTTGCTTAGACTTGTGGGGGAGAGTATCTGAGTAGAGAGTCCCATGAAGGTGGCTTACCCTCTCTCTCTCTCACCCGCCAACTTTAACTGACTGGTCTGGACAAGTAGATTTGATTCTGGCAAGGCACTTATTTACTCGTCCAACCACATGGATTCATAGCAATTAATAAAAATAATTAATTATTAATGAAAAATTAATGTCATTTCCTGATATATCCTGGTGCAGCGCCATTAGAACAATGACCCCACAGCTTCCTCTCTTTGTTCAGTAGGATACCAGTAAAAACTACTTATACTATTCGGCAGAAACATTTTGAAAGCAAATCCTTACTTCCAGATAGGACGTCAATGTGGAATCTAAAGGCCTCTGCCTAACAGAAAGCCATGGGTGGTGAGAGCAGCCAATCACACATATTAGAAAAATAAAGTGAAAGCCAACAGGCGTAGATTGGCTTTCAACATCTGAATTAATCTTCTTTCACCAGAGAGGCCACCAAGAGCATTTTTGAATGATCCGTCCCAATTTTCTCGAGTTGCTAAGGACAGAGATTTCCAAACCCCCTTTTACCCCCCTCCCATTTTAATCTGAATTTGGATATGAGATGTTTGTGTTAATCGTCCATCTATGACATGGTTTCCTCATCTCTGAAAAACCCCCAAAGCTATCTGATTTGTGTTTGTTCTTGCACCGTTAGGTTGTTATTCAGAATTCTGATTTGGTTAGGAAAGTCCCAATCCTATGAAATGCACCTAAAAAAGAAAAGATTTAGCAGAGAAACCGGCGGAACCCCAGGGAAGTAGTTCATTCGTTCGCTGCCCGCCAGATTACCGAGAGAAGAAATTACAGAGGAAATCAGAAGGGCTGAAGGAGACGGGAGCCAGCAATTAGCTCGGGCAGGGCCTGGAGTTCCAGCCACGTCAGCAAAAGCGGGCAGGAGACAAGACTCACCCTCTCCGCCCTCCTGCACCCCCCACTGCCTGCTTTCAGCTCAAGAAAATGAATTTCTGTCTCTTGCCAGGCGCTACAAAAGGTTCCCCACTCCCATGGTAGGTATGTGTAGCTGGGGTGGGGTTGGCCGAGAGGAACCAAAGAGCAGCTGCCCTTTACCCCCGAGTAATCTGAGAGAGGATGCTAGAAGGCCCTGGTGTTGCCCTCCATAGGATGATAGCTGGAAAGAGGAGATGGCACCGAAAGTTTTGCAAGGAGGGCAGGAGCAAATGCCAGCAAGCTTGTGCTGCAAGTTATGGGACAAGGGGTTCCATTTCAACCATCAACCGCTCCTACAGGTATCTGAGGTTCACGGGGGGGTTATTTGGCCATTTGAAGCAAGTAACTGGTCCTGAGGATTGAAGAAAAAAAAGAGAGACACCCCAGAGGTTTCTGAATAGCCCTTCTGGTCCCATAGAACCAGGGCAACAACTCCCATCACATCAACCCAATAATCAAGGATTATGGGAGTCTTAACAGGACACGCATTTCCCTACAGAAGCTTCTATACATCTTGACTATACTGTACATATCAGACATGTCTATCTAAGGCAGTGTTTCTCAACCTTGGCAAGTTTAAGATGGGTGGACTTCAACTCCCAGAATTCCCCAGCCAGCCATGGCTGGCTGGGGAAT